CCCTTCCTGTGCCAACCCAACCTCCCCATCCTGCTATCCCTGAGATGGGTTCCAAGTTTGGTGTAACAGCATCTCAACCATGACGCTCCCTGGCTCTTGGACCTCAGTGGTACATATCTCTAAGGAGGGTTTCAAACCTAACGTTTCTAATGGGGGAAAGGCAAATCAGTGCCAATACTACGAAAGTGTGTGTCTTACCTTTGCTATATGATGTGCATTTAACAGAGCCCCTGCAGAGACAATGCTTTTACCTAAAGGAGGCATTTTACTAGACGAAATGTCAGAAATTGGGGTGGCATAAATGGGAAATAATAGGACCCAGCAAATGGGTTTTGCAATGGGTCAATTCAGTCTGGGAAAAATAGTTGATAACACAGATTTTCTCAGTAACTACAATTGGTGGGTCAGCTTCTGCAACTGTATTAACTGCTTTATTGTTCAGTATATTGGAAAAGCCTGAAGACCAGGGTGGCTTCTTAGAGGGTAGCAAGTAATGGCCTTTGGCTTAATTGCAAATTCTGAGAGTTTTCTGTTTTCTTTCCCAACCCCCAATCTGATTTCACGCTAACAGAATCACCCTGCGATGGACAGGGCTGTGTGGTGATTTCTCTCCCCTGTACCTGTCCCAACTTTCTTAACTGACTGTCATGCTTAGCCCTTTGCCCTTGTTTCAGTTACTCTACTGTATCTGGGCCTCCTGTGGGAAGGAGGCACATCCTTTCTGGAGGTAGACAGAATACACACTGTGAAAGGCTGTGTATTAGATCTTGCACATGAACAACTGTTTGTCCAATTTGTTCCCTTACCCTAATATGGCTGTCTGCTTCTGTAAACCTGCTTGCCCTTCCCATGAGAAAATAGCTTGTGCTAGCCATACAGAAAACCATATCCGGGACGACATCCTGTACCTGCTACTGTCTTTGCTAACTAGCCCGAAACCCTTTTGTTTAGCAATGTAACTGCTTGCATGGAAACCCCACTCCCCTCAGAAATAATTAACCTGCTTGATTCAGCTTCTATAACTGCTTGCATAGAAACCCCTGGTAACTGACCCCCTATAAAAAGACTACTCAAACTTCGGATGGGGCTGCAGTTCTGATTCTCAGTGCCCCCTTCCCCCCTAGCCTCAGACTGTAGTCACTGGCCAGCTAATAAAGACTCTCTTTAAACTTAATCTGGCTTTGGTGGTCGTTCATTTGGTGGCACTCTACAACAACACTAGTAGGGGTTGGCAGATGGCATGGCGGTTAAGGGCATTGGCCTCCCACATGGCTGACTGTGGTTCAAATCCCAGACCTGGTGGCTCACTTTCTCACTTTCTCTCTCTCTCTCTGTCCCTCTCTGGTCAAATTAAAATAAATAAATAAGTAAATAAATAAATAAAAATAAAAAAAATATTTTTAAAAATAATGATAAATAAACACCAAGAAAACCTATACCCGAAAGTAAGAAGCCATGGTTTGTCTCTTCATGTTGGTGGTTTCTTCTGGGTGCCGTATCACCTCCAGAGTGTCCACCTGAAAGCACAGGCAGAGGAAAGGGGTTTGAGGATAAAAACACTGAATTCATTCTCTGGCTTTTCCAAAACCTGAAAGGTTGCTTGGTCAAATATATGAGAGGTCATAGTGTTCAGGACACAGTAGTGTACAAAATGAGGGGAATTTTAAGACATAAAATTTAAAAAAATAATATAAACCGTTTGTTTCACTGATTGGACAACACGACGGCACTCTGTGAGGCACCATCCGGTCTCAGTATAAACCCCATCAGTGTTATTTCTGTACTTCTCCATCTGCCAATGGGCCCCTCTTAACTCTCCAGTAATGTCACATCAGACCAAGCTATTTCTTAGGAGAAAGCTGGGCAAAGACCCATGAGGCTAGGTAAACATGAAGACCCAAAGCCTGGGTAGGGAATTGGGCCAGCCCCACAGGGAATGGGCCAGATCCAGTCACCCTCGATGCATCAGATCCTGATGCTGCAACACCAACAGATCCCACCCACTCGTTGCAGGAAGTTCGAGCCCAAATCACTCAGAAACCCAACAGGATACGTCTGTTCCCAATCCTTTATCCTAACTACCTGAGCTGACTGGAAGGAATTTATGGCTAAAAACAAATATAGGCACCACATGCCGTGGCCTGCATTTCGATTCTGTAACTCAACAACAAAACCCCTGCTTTGGTTTGTAGAATGGCATTTCAGCCCAAGCCTCACGGTGGCAGCCTCCATCTGTTCTGCACAGGTGGCAAGGGTGTGAAGCAGGAAAGTGTGAACTGGAGAACACTGCTGTCGGCATGTGGGTCCACCTGCCAGATGACTGTCTAGGCAGCCACCTCTCCATGGGGTGAGGAAGTCTATAGCCTTGTTCAATGAAGTTGAAACATGGGTGCTACAAGGGGCAGGGCTTGGGGGTGAGATGGGAGAGGGAAGAACAAAAAGACTTACCTAGATGGGTATTTAGGAGACTGTGTGTGAAGAATGGAAGGCAACACTTCAGTTGGGTTTGGGTTGGATTTACTTAAGAAGAAAAGCAACCTAACAGTGGGCAGGAATATGACTTGAGTGAAGATATACAGAGCAAGCAGCTTTCTTTCTGTCCTTCTTTAGTTTTGTTTTTGTTTGTTTGTTTGTTTTTCCTGAAGAATTATTTTATTTTACTTTACTTATTTATTTATTTTAATTTGACCAGGGAGGGACAGAGAGAGAGAGAGAAAGTGAGAAATCAAGTTGCCAGGTCTGGAACTTGACCAGTGATCAACCATGTGGGAATCCAGTGCCCTTAACCACCGCACCACTGCTAGCCCCCCCCCCCCCCCCCGCTTTTTTTTTCCCCGTAGGATGCATGTATTCTACAGAGACAAAGAGAGAAAAAATTCAAAATCACCATCCGGGGGGTATGGTCATGCCACAATCCCTTCTCCATTCTCCTCTTGGGATTCTGGGCATGCACGCACACATGCCCAGCATAGTTTTCAAGCTGCTGGTCTGGGACTTGAACCGCAGTCAGCCATGTGGGATCCAGTACCTTAACTTCCATGCCACCTGCTGACCCAGTCAGCTTTCTTTCTGTGGCCTGCACTTTGGAGGCTGTCAGATCGTTCATACACAACTGAAACAATGATACAATCTACTATAGGTTTGACTTTTTCATGTCTTAAAAATTTCGTTCAGGGCCAGCAGGGGGCGTGGTGATTAAGGGTGCTGGACTCCCATGTGGCCAACTGTGGTTCAAGTCCCAGATATGGTGACTTGCTTTCTCACTTTCTTTCTCTCTCTCTCTTACTCTGTCCCTCTCTGGTCAAATTGAACACAAAATAAAATAAATAAATAAATAAATAAATAAATAAATAAAGTAAAACAAAATAATTCTTTCTTTAAAAAAAAGTTTCTTTCTGGGCCAGCGGGTGGTGTGGTGGTTAGGGGAGCTGTATTCCCACAAGGCTGACCACTGTTTGCGTCCCGGACCTGGTGGCTTGCTTTCTCCCTTTCCCTCTCTCTCTCACTCTGTCCCTCTCTGGTCAAATTAAATAAATAAAGTTAAATAAAATAATTCATAAGAAAAAGAGAGAGAAGCACCTCATAGAGTCTCACACCACGACCCTCCACCCATCTCCCCCAGCCAGCCAGGATCACAGGCACCCATGCGCCAGCATGCACCAACGCTCACCAGCGTGCACAGACCAGTGTGGCAGTTCCGATCTGCCGTGTGGCTTCCAGCACTGCAGCACGCTGGGCCCCACTGTACTACCTTGGTTGAGCCCTGATGTCTTGCTTTTTTAAAGGAAATAGGAGGAAAATGAAAGCTTCTTGGTTGAAAGGAAGGCTGCTCTAATGTGGAAAAGAGGAAACAAATGTAACACACCCACCCTATCTGCAGAGGTGGGGTGTAGTTTGAGTCATCAGACAAGTCCACACTGGAAGTTTCTTTTCCTTTCTCACCCCCACTTGAGTACAGAGCTCACTGCTGGTGAGGTTTAGAGCAAACTAATGAGGACTGAATGAAAGATCTTGGCTAGTGTTGGTCTGTGGCTGAATTGTAAATTTTGAGAGTTTTCTTCAACTTTTCTCTTTATTTTCTTTCCCCACCCCCAACCTGACCTAAACACACACACGCACACAGCTAGCTTTTGAGAATTTCACCACCAGTTCCTTTTATTCAGATACCTTCCTTGAAGAAGAACCTCTTGCTTTGAACTTCGCTTTTCCTGCTTCATTTCCCTCTCTTTTTATTAATTAGCTAGTGAGCACCAGGCCTCCAGGCTCTGGCTCACTGTCAAAGGGCAGCTGAAAAGCTCACCCACCTTCCTCTATTAGGAAGTGATGAAGGATTTACTCATTACCCTCCCTCAGAACTTAGAGCAGACCTTTAGTATTTGAGAATTTAACGATTTGACCAGAAAATTCTTGATGAGTATTAATTTGGCTGGGATATTTAAAAGGAATAGGTATTGTTTCAAGATCAGTTCCCACCCCCTCTGGCAAAAAAAAAAAAAAAAAGACCATAATGAGGCACCAACTTACATACCTACAGCTGTAAGGCTGGCATAGGCAGGAGGGAGCCCCTGACTAACCTCGCAGCATCTGTGCTCAGCACAACTATAAGACCTTTCCTTGGACCCACACACAGAGTAATTCTTGGGAAGTAAATAAAACCTGATCTTCATTACGTACAGCCTGGAGACGATAATATTGTCTATAATTCATCACTCCTGTATTTAGTATGTATTTTACAGAATACAAGGTATTTTCTAATTTAAGAATTTAAAAAGGGGGACCAGCAGCTGGCATAATGGCTATGTCGCTGGACTCCCATGTAGTCAACCGCAGTTCGAGTCCCAGACCTGGTGGTTTAAACTCACGCCGGGCACGTGTGCATGTGTGCCCAAGAGGAGAATGGAAGAGAAGGGATTGTGGCATGGTCATCCCCTGTGGGGGGGTGATTTCTCGCTTTCTGTCTCTCTGCCTCTCTCTGTCTTTCTGGTGAGCGCATATGCCCTATAGCAAAAACCTCTCTAAACAACAACAAAAAAAAAGAATTTAAAATGGGAGCTGGCAGATGACATGGTGATTAAGGTGCTGGACTCTAACATGGCCGACCACAGTTTGAGTCCTGGACCTGGCAGCATGCTTTCTTTCTCTCTCTCTCTCTCCTTCTCTGGCCAAATTAAAATAAATAACTAAATAAAAATAATTCTTTTAAAAAAAATGTAAAAGTCTTGGGTTACCCAAGGATCTCTTGCATATTTGCATAGTCATAAGGTTCTCTTGAACATGAAGTGGACCTCAAGGAGAATTTCAGGTGACATAGTGGCTAAGGCACCAGACTTCCACATAGTTGACCACAGTTGGAGCCCCAGACCCAGCATCTTGAAAATCATGCTGGGCACATGTGTGTGCATGCCCAAAATTCCAAGAGGAGAATAGAGGAGAAGGGATTACAGTGTGGTCATACCCCAGGGGATGATGTCTTGCTTTCCCTCTTTCTGTCTCTCTCTGTCCCTCTCTGTCAAGCACACACACCCTATGGAAAAAAAAAAATGAGAGAGAGAGAGAGAGAGGGAATTTCAGACAAGGAACAAACCAGATATTGCTGCTCTCAGCCCTTCAAGCTGGGAGACATCTGTCTGCACCGGACTATCATTAACTCTAAAGCAAGCCCACAGAATCAAAATGAAAGGGCTAAGAAGGCTGTTGTCTAACCTAAGAGTTTGTCTTCATGAGCTGGTTAACAGTAGCATCATTTAGCCAAAAAGAAAAAAAAAGGGACCAGCAGTTAGCGTAATGGCTATGTCGCTGGACACCTATGTAGTTGACTGTGGTTCGAGTCCCGGACCCAGTGGCTTAAACTCACACTGGTTGCATGTACGTGTGTGCCCAAGATCCCGAGAGGAGAATGGAGAAGGGATTGCAGCATGGCCATCCCCCCTAGGGGGGTGATTTCTCACTTTCTGTCTCTCTGTCTCTGTCTTTCTGGCGAACACATGTGCCCTATAGCAAAAACCTCTCAAAAAAAAGGGGGGGGGGAAGAAAAAAGGTATTTTACAAACAATCCAGGGGGGGACCAGCAGTTGGCATAATGGCTATGTCGTTGGACTCCTACACAGTCGACCGAGAGGAGAATAGAGGAGAAAGGATTGCGACTTGGTCACCACCCCTGGGAGGTGATTTCTTGCTTTCTATCTCTCTGTCTCTGTCTTTCTGGCGACTGCACACATCCTATAACAAAAACTTCTCTCCAAAAAAAAAAAAAATCCAAAAAGTGGATTGTATTAAGAATCATCTAACAAACACTTCTTTCCAAAGGTGGGGATTCTTTAAGAACAGTCTTTTCCAAAGAATCTTCTTCATTTACTTCAGTCAAGGAAAAAAAAAAAGAGACTTGAAAAACTTTGCTAGGAAGCACCTGGCTGAGGGAGTAAGGTACCCTGGAGCAGAGTTTTGGAATCAGACGCACCTGGTTCGAATCTAGCTTGCAAGCTACATGGCCTCAGACTTATTTAACTTTTCAAAGCTT